TGTCTTGTCTTAACCATTGAGATGATAGAATTAAGGTAATAATCTTACCATTTTTCCATGTTATGTACAGTGAAACATCATATAAAAATACAAAGCTTATACATATATATTCATGTAGGAAAAGAGAAGAACCTATGAGCCAATAGTCCCACTCAAAACCAGCACAGCACAGAAAACAGATGAAAAAATCAATATAGGGACTGTATTCTCTCTATATTAGACAGACATGTACCTACAAGTATTGAAATACCTATATATGTACGTAAATGCTATAGATTACTGGTTTGATTCTTTGCAAAGACCAAGTACAATTTTGAGAGTATTTTAAAGGATAGGGTTAAGTTCAAAGTGTTTTTATGTCAATAAAAGTATCTTTCATTTCTTTTCATCCCTTCCTGACAGCTTAGTCAAGACAATTTTTTTTCCCTGAGGACTAGCTTTTACTTGGGAAAGAAGTGCTATTTCACTTTGTATTAACTAGCTCACGGTAAGAAGCAGTCAACTACAGAAGGCTAAATTCACACAATTTGTCTCTTCCACTGCTTCACAAGCCAGAATAAGGAATGTAAAGCATAGAAACACATTAAAGCATATAAAGTACTAAGTGCTTAGGTGACTTCCCTGGTGTCATTAGGAATGCTAGAGACTAGACCTAAGACATTGTTGACTCTAGATATGGCCAATATCTGACGCTTTTTGGGAAAGGTGAAGAAACTACTTCAGAAACAGTTTTCTCTTAGATGCACAGAAACAGACACATTCTGTTTCTGTAAAAAATAGTGTACCTTGTCGCTGGCTACTGGAAAACAATAAGTGGAGAAGCATATTTTTAAAACTGTGCAAAAGATAACTAATGAAACAAAGTGCTCCGGTTAATTCTTTATTTTCAACATCAAGTACATTGATAAAAATCTTGCACCAATCAGGTAGCATACCAGACTTTTCATTTAGACTTTTTTAGAACTTTTTTAGGTGCAAAACAAAGAAAAAAACCTCACCAAAACAAAGACATCAATAATTTTATATGCATCAGTGAAAGAACAGAATACTTCAACAAATACATTATGGCAGCTGAGCCTATACCAAAAAAAGGACTTTCCATTGACAGACTACATAGTGCACACAAAAGCATTAGTTTTATACTCTCTACAATACGGTGATACATAAAGTGGCTTGGAAATGCAAGTCTCCTGACCAGCAGTCTATCCCTTCATCTTCCGATGGGCACTTTCTGAAGAAACAGACTTCTAATTATAGGCACACAGAAGTACAGAGCATACTAATTTGCAAGATGGCAGCATATACATTTTTTAAATTTTTGTTTGTTTGTTTCTTTAGGCACATTTGAATGCGAAGGATGTTTTTTTTTTTAAACACAGTGCAAAACTGAATACCCTTATGGGCAACAATCATTTTTGAAAACAATTTTCAGGATATAAGGCTATCTACATTTGAAAGATGAAAGGGAATTGCGAGCAGAAAGGGTAAGACATTAATATTAGGGAAATATTAATTTAAGATTCTCAGCTGAATCTGAGATTATGCTATAGTTGCAGGTGACAGCAAAGATTACTTTGTATTACGATACCATCGTTTAAATGACCCTTCTTTTACATGTGTTGCATTTCTGTCTGTAAAGCTATATTGCAGTTGTAAACAGAACTGATAATAGCCATCGCTCTGTTCAAAGTAAGAAAAGCACATAAGTTCAGCTGAGAGTACCTTATATCCAAAATCCCATTAGCTTTAGGGTGGGTTGCATTCTAATTTTAAAGCAGGATATTATATACACAAGAGAGGCTCGCTGTGTTCCTGCCAAAGCCTGTGGTAAGACTAAGGCCTTAGTGAGGCAGAATTTTTACTTTGCTGGTAGTTTGTTTCATTTTAAGCATTTGGCACAACTCTTAAGGAATCAGTCGACATCAATCAGAATGGATGGAGGCACCAATACAAACCCTGGCTTAGATGAAGGGCGTTGTTTGGGTTTTCTTTTGTTTTCTTTTTTTTTTGATTTAAAGTCCAGTGACCTGCTGATGGTCCTTGCACTGTCCTTGGGAGCTCAGTTCAGATTATTTCTTTAATTATATTTTGAAATTATTAAACTCCTCAGTGTACAGAAGGAGAAAAATAGTCAAGAGTTGTCACTGAAACGTAATAGTAAATTTACCACAAACACACACCAAGAAACTCTCGTTAAATTATTTTACCCCAGTACAAATCCTACTGCCCCAACTGGGAGTTTTACCTGAGAGAAAGTCTGCAACATCGAGACATGGCTCGAACCACAACAAACCAGAATAGCTTTCACACATTGTTGGAAACTCAGACACCACTAAGTGCTATGCATCACCTCCTCTCCTGCCTCCCAAGCTTTTTGTAGTAATTCAGTAACAACCGTATTCTCCAGCAAAGCAAGTTCATCTGGTCTATTTCTGTTTGGCTTGTGCTGGTATGACATTGCCTATGTTTCTAGGGTTTTTTTTGGGTTTTTTTGATTATTTTTTTTTTTAAAAATCCATGTATAAACATTATAAAATAATTCTTTCATTAGCTGTCCGGAGACATCACTATGAATGTTTTGGTAAAAGCATAATTAGCTGCCTTGAATAGTTTTCTTTCAATTTTTTTTACATGCTATATATTTTTATTTAATATCCAGCACCAGGTATTCAGGTAGTACTGGTTTGTCAGCTGCAAATACAAAGTATATATGCACATATATATATATATATATATATATACACGCACACACATAAAATAGTATCCTGTGAAATAACAATTACCAAATATCAGGCACAATTGTTTGCATACACAAGACCATAATTCAGAATTACATATGAAAAAGGTTGCCATTTCTTTGTCATAGACTTTGCTTAATCAATGGAATAGCTACATTCAGCTGTCTGATATGTGGACAATCATCTTTATATATAACTATGGGAAGGTTACTATATTCATTAAGGTGCTGCTTCAGTTAAAATCTCCTGAACAAAATGACACAGATCCTGAAACTGTCCCAAGGTAAATGAATGTGTTACTGGGAATCACTGTTTTTCTTTCTTAGGTGCCCTTCAACACTGTTATGACAAACATGGGAGGACTGGTTGAATCAAAATTACTTCCTTGCAAGGGATGAGCCTAGGAAAGTGTTCATAATTAAGACTGTGAGCTGACTGCTTTTTCCTTATGTCCCAAGACACATTTTTTTACCCTGCTGTCTGCTGCATACCACTTCAAATCACGCTTACCCAACTTCACCAGGAATATCTGTAGAGTGTAGTGGTACTTGCCCTATGTAAGTACCATCAGAATCTGACCCTCTGTTATGATTGCTCTCCATGAACTACTTTTTTTTCCCTCTAGACCATATTTATGCTTGAATCGATGTAATTAACTGTTCTGGGATGTGGGAAGGCAGGCATTCATTTAAACCAATTTGCCTTGCATCTTATGACCTTGATCTGTGTGTTCTGTCCTAAAGAACACCACGTTGCATGTACAGTATTTAAAGAGCAGCTCTGATGCACACTGGGCTACAAGTGAATGATGATGGTGTAAGAACATAAGTGTCACAACAGGGATTCCTGTGCTCCGTTCAGATCTTAGCCTGCACTCGTTTCAGGGCATCCATGACTTTCCTGACACATTTGAAAACCAGCTACTAAACAAAACAAAATGTGCATTTTCTTTCAAGGCGTTTAGGAGCCCTCCAAAAGCCCTTAGGTACCAAATTTGCACACACACACACTACACATACACACTCTCTTACTGAATACACAAAAAGACAAATCCTTCAGCACATTCAGAAAAGAACAACACCATAATATGCATCAATAAAAAGCCTATTAACTTACAATGACTGGTTCACATGTTTAGGCTTGCACAGTTTTCGAGGAATTTTCTCAAATGTAGGTAACATCTAGCTTTAGACTTTTAAACTGCGCATATTCTCGGATATGTACATGAAACTGTTATAGACACTGTTATGTACATTCACTAAAGAATCAAATCCTTGATGTGGTGCACAAACAACTCATCCTATGCCTTGCTGCCTGCACAATTGCTGTGTAACTTGATCCCCCTACACAGTCTCTGAAGTGTAGCAGGGAGGCATAATTAGACATAGGCACTCCCGTACGGCTTTAAGTTGCACAGTTTCCTATATTTAGTTACTACAGCAAATTCCAATCAACATAATCTAACATAAAGGTTTCAACTATAGCAGTAAAAGAAGCCTCCCTGAACCCTTCTCTAGCACAGTGGCCAGCTGCTGTGGAGCAGCCCATGCACATGCTATGAAATGTCCTTACTGGCAGGGTGGTCACTTCCAACCAGCTATTGGAATAGTCCCTGGTCCGTGCTAACTCCCAGGCTGCACCAGTAAACCAGAAGCGTAGATAGCACAGGCAAAGTTTATCATTAGACTAATAAAATATCCCTGGCATGTGTAATGACTGCATTCCGGTACCCAGCAACGCTCCCTGACACGTTCAGTTTTCTAGCATATAGGCAGTCAAACAGCAGCACCAACTCCTACTTTTGAATAGCACATGGTACGTATTTCTTTAGTCTCTCTCCTTCATGTCTTGCAGAAACTCTTGATGTAGTGGAACTTTTGTATATTTACAGTTGGTATGAAGAATCTGAACAATCCTTATGAAAAAAGAGTTACTTGCATGGAGAAAGCCAGATTTATCTTCCTGGACATGCAGTCCCAGAGTCTTCACCATGCCTGAGGCTCATTGTTCAGTCCTGGTGTCACAGGTGAGCTGGCTCTGAACAGTGATTTCTGAGCATGCCCCAATGAGAGCCAAAGAAAGCCAAAGCAACACAAAGCCTCCTGCTCTGGCTGTGATGGCAGCCCTCCCATACACAGCTAGGCCACACTCTGCTGAGTGGGATGGGACCATCCCATCCTGCTGTGCCAGTCTTGCGCTGGCATCGTCACCCTTTGGTTTGTAGCAAAACAAAGCAAAGGACGGGAGGAGGTTTTTTTATAAAATAGTGCTGGATCTTGTATGTGTGTGAGAACCTATTTTTTTTTAAGACCTGGTGATTTTTGTAATCATCTGGTCTGATTTAAGAGTAATTATCTATGTTTTCACTATTTTCCATGTTGCCCGTGATTTACACGCTGCCAAGCAACAGAACAACTCAGCTTTGGAGGATCAGACAAGATAGGATGCATGCAGTGCAATTTGGCTAGAGGATATGGTAAGGGGACCTAAAAGTTTGGTCAGTATGATCTTGGGAAGGAGTTGTCTGCTGATGCAAGCCAGCAAGGTAAAACATTCTTCTTCTCGGACAGCAGTTCCTTTCTCCTGCAGGAAGAAGCGAGGCGGGAATCTACCTAAGCTACCAAGGCAGTCACTAGTAGTACAGTTTCAATATGGCACTCTAAGATGCCAATCAACTGTCCATTTACATCCCCAAAAAAGTCATCCAGAATCTCTACTAAACTGCTTCAAAAGTTTTAAGCAAGTAAAGGATCAAGCGAGCTCGGAATTTGGGATGGATATCAACAAAGGCTGCCACTCATGAAGATATCATTACACACAGGTGGTATGGCCTATTAATTTATAGTAAAATGAATGTTCAGTTTAGATTAGCACTTACCCAACTTACATGCAAAATTAAATACAAGCTGCAAATTTCGAATCAAGTTAGCCTGACAATCCTTGCTGGCTGTCCATAGCAATGAAATGTCTTCCATTTCGGATAAGCAATCGATTTAGGCAAGCACTTGACAAACACTCGAATGGAAAACGCAGGTGACTGTTGTCACTGGAGTGTTTACATAGGTGGCACTATAGACGAAATGAAGCAAGAGCTAGGTAGTACGCTGCTGGGTTTCTCATACCGTTATATATGCTGACTTTTATTTATATTGTGTTCTGTATATTCTCCTCTTCTTTGCTGTTTATATAAAAAGACTGCAAGGAATGAGATGAAGCTGGTGCAGTTGTCAGCTGGCTCCGGTTCTCCTCTTCCATCGGTGCAGCACTCCTGGCTGGTGGGGCATGCAGTCGGTGAGCATCCAGCATCTCCAGCAAGAGATCATAGAGTGGAACTACGTTCTTACACTTCATATTGTACAGGTGCTCCATTCCTTTGTTGCTGTGGATTGTAAAGAAATAACGGTTACTTTCCAAATACTGTATGAGAAAAACAGCTATCAACTGATAATATTTGTTAGGTTCATATAAATTCCACTTTGTACAAAACAACTGACTTAACAGTGCAGTTGCTGTACACTCCTGCTACAGTTAGCAGAAGAAGGCACCTTCAAAGAACATTTCAGGCTGCCCATAAGCTTGTTGCCTTCTAAAGGTAGCTCTTTTACTCTCCTTTTTCTAAAAGGTAGCCCAGAGCACATGGACTCCCAATTTAGGCACTGTGACTAAGTGGATGGGATGAATCTTGACTTTCCCATCATAAAACCTGAAACATCAATTTTTTTCCCTAGAAAATAACCTCAACCAATTCGTTACCACTTGTAATAGTATCCATTCACAAAGCCATGGAAACAATAAATAACTTCACAGTGCATCTGGAACTTCTTTAATTGTACAAATATTTCTTAAAGAAAAAACAAAACAAAACAAAAAATGGATGATTAATATGAAGACAAAGAAATTCCACAAAAAGACACAAGTAAAAAGACCACATGCACACACCACTTGACTTTTTCCTGAAGACCTGTGTGTCAGCCCAGGAGGTTAAATCTTCATGTTTCAGCTTTAGTAGTTATGGTGTGGTGCTTACTCTAATTCTAATTTTATTAACTGAAATAACAAAAATTAAAATCTGTGTAACAGCATCTCTTATCCCTTCACAAAAATAAAATCTATGCTGTATCTTTGTTTAGACTTGTCATGTTGTTAACACTCCAGGCACTGAGCAGCTACCTCAAGAGGTAATTAAGTTTAGGAGAATCATTGCTGCAACTACTAACAGAGTGCCACAGACACCTCACCTCTAATTAGCAAGGGGCACAGTCCTCTAGATTAAGATTCAGTAGATCTGCATTTATCCTCACTCATAAAATACACATAATGATCCTAATCACTTTTCTAAAGAGATTTGCAATCAAACCACTTGTGAAAAGTGGCTACATAAAAGTGATAGTTTTATTCTTCTCTTATAGGAGACTAAACTTTGCAGAACTAGGCTAGTGCTATGTTAATATTCTACTTGGTACTTTTCAAACAGACTACAAGATGCACATAACATTGAAAGCAGATACTACTTACAGCACTATCAAAACAAGCAGAGGAAAAGGAAACTAGAAGAAACAAAAGGTGAAGGTGCTTACTCTTTTCACACTATAATCTAACACACTGTTTTGCACACGTTCCATGCATCTTTATGGAAAGTACACTTTTTTCTTTATTTTTTTGTTTTGCAACAGCTCTACAAGCAGTTTGCACTCCCATCTGTGAAGGAAAAGTGTGCATGTGCATTTGTGAAACCTCCCTTGCACGGAACCAGTGCAGGAGAGCTGACTGCACACTTGCTCTCACCTCATGTGTCTGATGTGAGAGAGGATGAGGAGGAGCTGAGCCAGTCGTCTGTGTTGCTGCTGCAGAGAAAGACCCGACTTAGCCATTAAGTGTATCAGAGTGTCTGTGATTTTGTCCAGAACACGGTGAATATAGTCTCTCTCCTCCAGAGATTTCAAGGTGCTGGAAAGAAAAGTGTACACACCTGGAGTAGGAAGGAGAAAGAAAACAAACAAACCAGAGACAACAATTACTTTGATAGAGTCACACTGGCCCAAGGAACGCCTTGTGGCTGCCTCTTCAGCTATGTCGAACCATGGGAGGTGACTGCATGTGGACCCTCCTGCTTGCCAGCCAGGTCACTGGTTTGAATGACCCTGGAGCCTGGATTCAGTCGCTGTGGGTGAAGAAGGAGGAGGAAGATGATGCCTCTTCCCCACCCAGGTCCATCCAAGGTCTAGGCCAGATGGCGGGTGACACACGTGCCTGCAGCTGGGCCTGCCCATGGGCTGCACCTTCTCACAGTCACTTGGCTCCGAGACCTGGAGGAGATGCTTTGCCCCTTGACAACTCTGAGGTGCTTACTGGCCAGCCCAGGCCTTCAGCAGGTTTTGCCATTTTTCTCTGCTGTTTAATGTTTGATTTTTGGTGGTTTGCTAATAAATCTAGAACTGAATAATATGTTTCCACAAAACATGTAAGCAAAAATCAGGGTTTGTTTATGCACACTTGCCTCAACAAAATGCACCCAACCAAGCAAGAGCCGTGAAAGTTGAGCTCCTTCACCTACAATCTGACATCTCCCTTAAAAACCATGGCCAAAGCAACCTGTTTAATTCAGCCATCTTACATTGCTTACTGTTGAAAGTGAGCAGCGTGAAGATTTGGACCAGAAGGAAATTTTTCCAGAGATGAAAATACCTTCAAACTCCCCCTGCAACAGCCACTCGACGTCACCTATAAAACACCCTAACCCAGGCATAAGAGTTTTCGTCAGCAGTAATTCTTGGGTGTGTGAAACACATCAGCTTTCTATCTGCTTTTGCACTTTTTTATCTTGAATTTGTTCTGGACAGCAGCACAAAGCCGATGTGAATCAGGTCGCAACAGCACAGTGCTGCCAAAAGGCACCTGTTGCATTAGGCACCAGGTGTTTTAATCTTCTGGATTGAGCCAATCACTCAAAACAGGTCATATTACTCTAATCCAGTCCTGAGGCAGCGAAAGCTTAAAATGCACGTATGCTAATACAATGAAACTGGCTTGACCATGGTGTGGTCATTGCCCCGTGTCCGTAACGTACTTGACAAATCCTGTGCTTTAGCCCTTCTGCATCAGCTCACAGAGCCAAGAAGAAATTTGGATTTTGTCTTTGGAAAAAATGGTTTCTGAAATTACTTTTCATTTTGCTTTTCTTTAAAGCATCATATATAGCACAATATGCAATGCAGTTAGTGATGTTAAGAAAAGACACACACACTAATATATATATGTTATAGATATGTATATACTCTAGCTTTTTTGTACTTTGTGTAGCCTGGTGGTTATACTGTCAAATTTGAAGACAAGAATATTTTGCCATGCATCTGAGCAGCCAGGGAAATTGATACTTTTTTGTTACCATTTTCTTGGCATACCTCACCTCCTGACATCATCTTGGTACTTCAAGGACCTGACACCTAGAACTACTTTAACCTGCAAGTAGGTTTTATGACTTTGGGTCTTCTGTACTAAAAAGAAACATAAATATGTGTTTGTGAATGTCTCTGAGAGAGAGTGTGAGTGTGACAGAGAGAGACTGCTTTAAAAAACCAAAAGGATAACTCCAACACAGTACAACAACTAAACACTGTTAGTCAGAGCACTTAATTTTGGTAATGAATATTGCTGTGAATTTGATATAGATAGATAGATAGGTAGGTAGATAGTACAATGGCCTCTTTTCTTACAAAGCTTTTTATGATTATTATTTTTTTTACTGAAATGAATTCGCCAAAGAGAAACAGCTCCTGGGGCTTTTCTCAGCTGAATGACAATTAATCATCCTCATTTAAGCCTACCAACAATACCAGGCTTTATAGCTTAGCAAGTACCTGTAGGGGCAAGATTCTTAAATATTACTGAGAAAACACAGTCCGTTAGAAGTAAATATTAGTCTCACAAACCCACAGTGTCTCCGGAGCAGCTTACTTCAGCCAGAGAATGCTATTGTGCTCTTGTAGCAATACCCCTTAGTTACCTAACTTTGAAAGCACCAAAAGAAAAAAATCTGTTAGGAGGAATTGTTTCTCACCTAGGTCTAGTCCAGAGGCTATTAAAAAGTATAAATCAAAAAAAGCACTTCCCCAAGAATGCAGAGACTTCAGGTAATTGCCAGTCAATAACTGCCAAGGAAAAATGACGTTTGGTTTTCCTTTCTGCCCCCCCCAGTGATTGCTCCTGCCCCAGGCCAATGATCAGAAATTTCCCCAAAAGAAATGCCAGCTATCCATCACACACAAACAAACAGAAGCAGAGTTTTGGAATAAGAGTGCAGAAAATTGTCTTAGTGAAGTGAAATTTAACTGTCTCAAAGGTCTTTCCAAGCTCTGAAGCTGAAAGCAACCCTAAATTGAATAGCTACCAGGTTGTTTTCCAGCTCTTTCTGTAGGTCAGTATTGTAAAACAGCATAGGAGCAAAACCAGAGAAAGCCCCACCCTGCAAACAAGGCTACTGGGCCTCGCCCGTAACACACAGCTGTGCACAGAACAGGGTCCCTCGGGGACTGCAGTGCTACCGTACCAGCTGTTGGCATAGAGTGGTATAACTTTCTACGTGTCACTACATAGAGTGACATATTTTTGCTTATTATTGTAGAGGAGAATGCCCTCTACATCTTTTCAGTCACAACAAACATCACTTTAAAATATCTTAACGTTTAGAGTTCAGGCTCACAAAACAATACTCAAGGCTCTTCTTCCCCTTCCACTGTGCCCCACTTCTCTGGATCTGTAGCAAGCCAGGCTGAGCTATGAGCAAATTCAGCTCTGTACCACGCATTCACATCATCACCCAGCCCCCCAGATGAAGAAATAAATAAAAAGCACAATTTAACAGGATCTAGAAAACTCAGGAGAAAAGAATATCAAACAGTCACATGGAAGGATGTATCAGGAGGTCTACAGGATGCATAAAATCAGGTAAATCTTTCCATCTCTAAGGTCTAATCAGTGAACTAATTGGGTAAATCAGCTGCTAAGACAGACACGACCTACATCTTTGTCTCCAAAATGATAGCCTGTTGCTTTGCCACATAACACCACCCCTCTTTTCAGATGCACTCCGAAGTAAAGCATCTGGCATCATGTCGCCCTTTCATGTTTCTAATACTTATTTTCCAGTGTTAAGGAACAGCCGTTTATTATTGAGCTGAATCTGTTTTTCAAAAATACAAGATTGCTTTTTAGTTCAAAAATTAATTGCTGCAGCTTTAGAGGGGCACCTTCTGGATTGTTATTTGGCTAGAGACAATGCTGTCCTTGTTGTTACAGACATGCTGTCGCCTTGATATCTCAGGAAAAAAAATTTGAAAGTAGCATAAACGTATACATACACTGAGTGAAACCAAAAAAAAAATTACTTCCATTTTGCCCAACACCACATGGAAAAGAAGTGTGAAGATATTAAACAGCCTTGAAAAATGTTGCAAAAAAAAAGAGAAAAGAAACATCCAACAAAAGCAATAAACAGCACTGCCTCATGTGAAAAGACTAACAGATGTCCAAGGATTTAATAAAGAAATGTTTGTGTACAGTCAATGAATTAAATCCACAAACAAACTTCAGAATGCAAATGCAGACTGCTTTTAAACATGAAATGTAGTATAATTAGTCCAATTCATTTAATTAGTTCACTTGTTTAAATAATTTTGAGATTAGTTAATTGTATGCATATATAATACAGACAGCATGAGGGCCAAAACTTCATTCTGTGTTTATTTGCTGTTTTTTCAGTAGAAGATTTGTGTATGTGCAATCATAGAAAAAAATTCAGGTTAAGGGAGGCTTGGAGACAATCTAGTTCAGCCTCTTGCTCAAATAGTGGTAACTTCAGGTTTAGGTCTGGCTGCCCAATGCTTTGTCCAGCTGAGTTTTGAATACTCTAAAGATGGAGATCCTACCAGCTTTCGGCCAACCTGTTTCAGTGCTTAATTTCTCTCACTGGGAAGCGTTTCTGTTCTGTTCATCTGATCAAGATCTCCCTTGCTGTGGTTTGTCTCCCTTGCAGCTCGTCCTTTCCTCTTGGCGCTCTGAGCAGAGTCTCGCCCTGGCTTCTCCATAACCTGTCCATCAGCTATCTGAGGACTGCAGTTAGACCCTCCCTTAGCCTTCTTTTTTCCAGGATGAACAAACCCAGCTCTTCCAGCCTCTCCTCACACATTATGTACACCATGTTCTTCAGAGCACATAATATTTCATGTGTGTCCAACATTTTACCTAAGGAGGCTGGCTATATGCTGTGAAGAAAGGCATCGGCAGAAGACGTTTTAGATTATCTGTGCCAAGCAACACTTACACAGCTATTACACATACTTCAAATTATGCTACTAAGTTATCTCTGTAATGCAGTCCAGCCTCCTAATTTGGGTATCTAAAGGATCTGACAGTCAGAGACACATGTCCACATTCCCACCACCTAGTAGCTAACTCCTCAGACAGTTATAAAGTCAGTTGGTTATAGAAATGCAAAAACTGAAATGTAAAATGAGTTATCTTTATGCATAAAGGCAACAAGAAGCAATAAAGACATACATTCTGTGGCCATATATATACACACATTCAGGTTACAGTGTACTCAGATGTACTTTAATAAGTGCAGTATGCAAGCCAGAGTAATACATGATGCTCTGCATAACAATGGTAGAAACTGTTTTGTTGTGAACCTGTAATAGCTCAACCCAAACTATGCCCTCTGATCTATCATAAGACCTTTGTAAAAATGCCAGCCTTCTGAGCAGCTATAAACTTTCATTTAATGTAAAAAAACCCACACCCAAAATCAGATCATCGGATCAACTCTGATCTTCTACCACAGGAAGGAAGATCTAACATCTCCCAGCCTCACCCAGTAGTCCCACGTCCCTTATGCACAGAAGGAAATCTGCCTCTGGTTATCATTGACTTCACTTACTATGTTTTTGGGGATTTTTTTTTAATTTTTCCTTAGGGGAATATTTAAACAAAATTTCCATTAAAAAAACTGGGGTGTGCTTATGAAGGATAGTGGTGATATCCAGCAGAGCTTTGTCTAAATAACAAATTTAGTTTTCTGGATCAATATCAAGTCCAGCACTGGGACAAAAACTCTCAACAGCACAATTTTAAGTCTTCACATTAAAGACATGAACATCTAACGTGTTTTATTAAAACTTTCCATTCTATTTTTTTTTCTAATTGTAATTCCATATTTCTATAAATCAATTACATATTCTAGATTTATTTAAGAGGATAATTACATCTGAACATATCAGCAAAAATCTGGAGGAGCATCATTTGTCAGGAAGAACATTTAACTGTAGCGTATATTCTGTTATAAATATCAGGACAATAAAAGGAAAATAAAATGTCAAACAACTTTCATATCTTGGCATCCAAGATAAAAACAATAGCCCTTCATTCCTAATATGCCAGGCGCTTGCCTCAGATGTTACTTTTTGGTAATTGGTGAAGTCATAACAAACCCTGAACCACATTAATATTTCAGAGAACATAAATAAGATATTTGATATTTGATTGTATAAATATATAATTTTGATTGAATTTTTTTTTAGTAGACCAGGTCCATGTTTCCATAAAAGAAGTGCCTAATGAGTAAAACAAAGTCTGCTGTGTTTTGAGTCAGCCTTTGGTGGGAATTAACTGAATAACACTTCTGTTAGACCACCGGATAAAAAGGACATACAGCACTCCACGTGTGTTTTGTCTAAAGGCTGACATGATCTATGAGTTCAAACCCAGTAGGAAAAGTGGAGAACAAGTGGGTAAATCTTCAAGGCAGGGAAATTCTGCCATCTTTAGTCATTAGGTAACACCTTAGCAGAGAATTCAGTCTAAAATTTTGACTTTGATGCCTACATTTTTATTTTAGACCTCTGTCATATCCATGAGAACACTGTGGGCCTCATTTCTGCATTTAAAAATAAATTGTCTGAAGTTTTTTCTCATTTCAAACAGGAACGGATCCTCTGGTGTGCAACAGAGATTTTGTCACATGCCTCAACTTGAATTTTCTTATTTCAAACCTGTGATGTAGGATTCAAGTTAGCTAACCTTAGATATTTATATCTGTATCTCAACTTGTTACCTGGTCACCTGTCTTTGAAGTGTACTTCACGATGAGCTTTACATCCCCAAAAACACTTATTTCATCAACTATATAGGAAGTGTAAAGTGATTTCATCAGGTTTAGATACCTATATTTTAAAATAAACTAAACCAGGGTAAACCCAGCCACATTTTTCCATTATTTCCCTTTATTTTGCCATCAACCAAAAAAAGGAAAGTGTAGATTTAGAGTTAAGCATTGCCTTTGAATGCCCTAACCATGGCTCCAGCTACTTCAGTGTCTTGTAATCAGAGCTTTAACCAGACCTGCCAGCACCTAGTTCAAAACACTGCTCTGATCACCCTTCACATCAGCTGTATGCAGTGTATCAACTACTTACTGCATTAATTTGCTGGGTCCCATCTACACCACTGAACAGGTTTGCCCACTTCCATCCCTGCTGGGTGGCTCTGCCTGTACCTGTGCTGACGACCCCCTTTCGATTTCTGCTGTCTTGAAATGGAAACATCATCAGCGACAAGCAGCATTCAACCACATGCAGAAGCAACCCCAATTACCCGAGTGACAGCAAAGCACACCACTTACCAGAATTGAGCAGGATGATGGACTTAAGGCACACAAATTCCTCCCCTTGAAGGTTCATCATGCGAAACCGAGCAGCAGTAGCCAGCAGCATGTCAAAGATTTCCACCATGCCCTCTACACATTTCCCTTGATTCCTGTGTGAATACCATCACGGGGGAGATAGTCACAGCTTTAACCTGGTGCAGCATGACCTTTTCATCCCCCTGGATCATTCCCCTACAGTCTGATCTCATCAGTCCCCTAGCTAGCATCTGACTTTCTACTCTATGCTCATTTCATGTATGTGTGATTACAAAAACATAGTTCCCAGTATCCCCCATAAAATGAATAAATAACAAAACACTATACGTCCCCCCCCAAAATGCCAGTTTTATAAAGTCATCATGAAGAGGCGTTACTGTGGTGGAACATATGAGACTGACTCAACTAAACCTTTACATTGAGGAAAAGGTTTGTTGATAACTACATTTTGATTTGTGTGTGTGTGTGTCTGTGTGTGTTCTGCTTGTGTTACTTTGTTTCCACTTTTTTTTTGTTTAATTGAAATAGCCCAAATTCTTTGCATTTCCTCCTCCATAACATTTAGTACTTGTTTCTACCTGACCTTGCAATCTGTAATGTTCCAACACGCTTTTCCCATTTTTCATCTATCAGAATAATGCCTCCTTAAAGAATAAGTTTATTCATGAGCTCAGGAAGGGCTTACAAGGCCAAAATCTTGTCTGTGGGACTGAATCTATTTAAAACTTCACTGAACAAACCAGATCTCTTTTTGCATTACAGCATTAAACAAAGTCAAGATCCTAAACTGCTGGGAAATCTTCAAGCGTTTACTGAAAATGAGAGTTAAGCACCTCCCTCTGCTCACAATAGTAGGCATTCTCACTAATATTCATCTCGCACACCCAACCTGCAGTTCAAGAATTAATGCAGATTGTACTTACTTTTTATGAAAATTCTGCCTGTAGATTTTCTGGTTATGGGTTTTTAGATCATTTGCTTTGCTACCTTTTACCAAAATCTACCTACTTTTATTTTTATTAGTATTGTCTGAGGGAAATTTTAGCGTGTAAGACTTAATGAGTGATCAGACCTGCTGATTAAAAACGTACTGTTTTTTAGATACAGCTTTTATGAACAAAATTTTGAAGATCACTGCTACAGAAAATGGAAAACACATTTCAAATGATCAGATGTCTATTCCACTACAATTTGTAATGTGAACGCAGATTGAGCATCTCTTAGTCTCATTGTAATAAAACCAACACCAGCTACTAGTATAGACACCCCTGCCTCAGTCCTCATGCAGCTCTGCTGTTGGGACCCTGTAGCTGATGTCTAAACCCACACCAGACCCTCAGACAAAGCAGCTACCTTCCTTTTTCACTACAGCCTGACAAAATTCTTTGCGTTTATCGATCATGTCTAAACCTAAAACTGACTCAAAGAAGGAGTGGGGATATTTGTGAGCACTTGGGCACCAATCTCCTTTCAAGATCAAAGCCCTATTCAGCTTAATTTGGTGCTTAAATTTAAATCTGCATCTCTCTTATACCAGAGCAGTGCCTGCAAGCCACCAGCTATGGCAGGTGACAGAAGTTGTTTCATCTGGTTTCAGAGACATTTAAACAAAGCGGGACAATATCAACAAAAACAGCTGAAATAGCTAGTAGGTAGTTGGCTAAAATACAGTAATATTTGAAAACGCGGTGACCTGCGCAAGATTTCCAACCACATTTCCAACACGTTCTCTGACTTTTCTGTGAGAAAGAGATGATCCAGCCTTGGTACTGAAAATATTAGAAAGGTATGTTTATTAGGGAGGATGGGTTGCTCCTTCTTGCTTCGAGTTCCTGTGGGTTACCAGGCAGCAGCACGCTGAGCACTCCTGCGAAGTGCGTAATTCTCCCCACACACTTTGCTAGGACTTAGCTCAGAACTGTGATTTCTGTTGTGGAACAGGCACCTGGTCACAATCTGCAGCACTTGGCAATGCAACTTTTATGGCCTTTTGTGGCTCTTAAAAATTCCACTGTTGAAATGATTGTTTAAACTCTAGCACCTCTTCAGGTATGACTTGCAACATTGATAATTTCACATATTAGGTTCCCATAGACTGGTAACAAGTGCAGTGTAAAATGTTGTGGGCAAAATTCTAAATCCTGAGATTAGTAGACAGGCAGACTTGATGCTGTGTTCCACGTAAAGCATGTGATGCCTTTTGCACCCTCATTTACAATGCCCTGACTGATGAGCTGCAATAAATGACTGATCTCAGTCTGGTATATCTGAACCTGGCTTTACTGAAATTCACAGTTCTGTCTCTTTTGCCTGAAGGCTGAATCTGAACTCGGATGAGCAGTTTTCAGTGACTTGATGGCCAGTTACACAGCTCAGTGCTGGATGCTGAGAGCTCTTCAGCAATGACCATCTTGCTGCCCTGATGAATCCTGCTTAGGGAGAATAAAGCTGAAAAACTGAACTGGCTGGATTCAAGTACATTTTTCCTTTTTCAGGACATCAGTAACATAAACAAAATAGTATTTAATAGCACCACTGTCAAAAAGAAAAGAAACAAAAATCAGGCACTCAAGGCATGAGAAAATAAACAATTACTATTGCCTCAAACTCTGTTTTGTGTGCTAAAATTTAAATCCCATGGAAGTGATACAAACATGAATTTTTACAGTGGGACAAGTTCCACTGCTTCCGATACAATGTTTTTGCCTATAACTAGAGAAAGATTATATAGAGTTAAGCACAGTTTCAGAGGACTAAAAGCCTTTAATAGTTTTGCATTAACTTAAATAATACCCCAATAAAAGTGAGTTTAAGAATTTAGAATTTCAGGATTACGCAGAATGGAAAAATATCAGTGGTTCATAGGGCAAATGACCATATTAAAAAAAAACCCACATCTTCTAGTCTGGCTAAGACATTTGCTTGCTTCCTAATATTCATCAAACTCCTGCCAGCCAGTATTCAAAACAATTCAAAATATTACACAGTCTGAACAAATTGTGAAATTTGCACAGCCAAGACTGCAATTGAAAAAGAAATAATAAGCTACTTATAAAATGAGACCTTTTAAAATGCCTTATGGCAACTCATAAGATGGAAAAGATATTTTGATAGTAAGTAGGAATTATTCCCAGGTACTTTTTACATAAATAGTTCGATGGACAGTAGTTTACGAGATCAATATTCCAATCAAGATCCACTTGCTGATAAATACAACTTCTGGACAAAAATCTCTAGTCCTGCAGCACTTAGTCCATGTGCCTAAATCTGCTTATGTGTCTATTTCCCACCAACTGAACTCTTCTGGTAGACGAAAGATAAAAATTATGCAAATTTAGAAGATTCTAAATACTTTCTAATCTGATTTGCCTTGCTATCTGCTGCGTGCGAAAGAGCAGGGTACTCCGTAAGAAAAACAGGAGTATCTCTTTAGGTAGAGTACTTTAAGTTAGATACCTAGCTTAAGATATTTGTGTGTGCAAGCAACAATTCAGAAATTTCTGCTTTATTTTCAGAGTAAGGCAGCAGATCCAGCTCCACTGAAATCAGTGGAAACTGCAGGAGCTTAGTATCTTTGAAATGCAGGCTTCTCCTCAAAGGTTTTTTTTATCTAGGCTACAACACTGATTTTTCTTTGTTAACCAACAAAAACTATCTGGAATAGGAATCTCCAGTTCTCTTGAATTGCCTTCTAACTTTCTAACATAAGCTGATAGTATTATCACATCTTCACAGCTATACGTCCCGTTGATAGGAAGGCCTATCTAGGAAGGCCTAGATAACTTTCCTGGAGGACAAATTAAGCAACAGATTTGAAAATTATCCTTATCCCACCACCATGCTGTTGTCTTTATGTACTCTCAGCTGACTGAAAACAAAACAATAAAAGCTTGTTTAATGCAAAGCATCAGAGTGTATTCTCAGAGGAATCCTTAATATTTGGTTATTGGAAAACGTTTAGGAAAGTTCAAGCATGTGAATTAAAGGTCTTAAGTTACTGCACAAAAGCATTATGTGCATTAACTTCAGTAAGTCTACAGAATCACAACATCATCCAGGGTGGAAGGGAACTCAGGATGTCTTTAGTCCAACCTCACACTCAAAGCAGGGTGAGCTCACTCAAGGCTTTATGCAAGTCTGGTCTTGAAAACCACCAGGGACAGAGACTGCATAAACCCTCTCCACTTCATTGTTTTCATTGTCGTGTTTTTTTATCTCCTCTATATGCAGTCAGAACCTCCCCTGTTTCAATTTACAGCTCCTCTTTCTCAGTCTCCCGTCTGGCATCTTGATGAAGAGCCATGATAACCTCCTGTTAGGCATGCTCAAAAGCCATCTCTTCTCCAGGCTGAACAAATCCACTGCTCTCAGCCACAAGGCCTGTGCTCCCACCTTGGTGGCTCTTCACTAGGTTTACTGAAGTTTATTAACATCTTTCCTGTGATGAGGAGCACAAAGCTGGATGTGGTATTCCAGATGTGGTCTAATGAGTGCCACATAAAAGCAGAATTATCACTTCCCTTGCTCTACTTGCCTACACTACCAATTATACAGCCCCAGATACTGTTGGCCTTCTTTTCTGCCATGTTGCAGTACTGTGGCATGCACAGATTGCTGTTCACCAGCACCCCAGGTCCTTCCCAGCAGAGCTGTTCCCCAACTCGTTATGCCCCAGCTTGAACAGTAGCAGTGGATTAAAGCCATCGCAGGTTCAGGACTTTGCATTTGTCCTGGATGAATTTCATGATGTTGCTGTCAGCCCCTTCCTCCAGCTTGTCTGTATGGCAGCTCGGCCATCAAGCATACCAGCTAGGTGTCATCTGTAGATATGAAGACAGTGCACTCCATCTCCTCCTCCAGATCATTGTCAAAAACATTTAATAGGATGTATCCTGTGTAGACCCCTGAGGAACTCCAACTCTAGCTAATATCAAAGTACAGTGTGAACCATTAACATGAGACATAGTCTTTTGTCACAGAAGGCAATCAGGTTGGTCTGATGATCTATGCTAATTCACACTCACCATCTTCTCCTTCCTGTTCACATAAACAACTTCCAAGAGAACTTGCTCTGTGATTTTCCTTGTGATAGAAGTGATGCTTACTGGCCAAC